AATGGCTTGATACCCCTGGCTGTTGAATGATGGTTAATATTACCCAGGATCCTTATATCTCAATTTATTTTTCTGTCTTTTTTTAATCACTCCTCTCAAATTGTGTGAAGGAAATTGGCTAGTTTTCTTCTAGCTAATTCAGAGTACTCTCTCTGCCTCTGGAAGCTGAGTGTCTTGTCAGGTTACTCAGTGATTTGAGCATTGGTCTGCTAAACCCAGGGTTGTGAGTTCAATCCTTGAGGGGGCCATTTAGGGATCTGGGGCAAAAATCTGTCTGGGGATTGGTCCTGCTTTGAGCAGGGGGTTGGACTAGATGACCTCCTGAGGTCCCTTCCAACCCCGATATTCTATGATTCTAAGACAAGTTGCACCTGCTACTCAGTTAGTTGGATTCTTCATGAACCAGGTGTAATGCTGAAAACTGCTATTTGCATGAATGGATGCAAACCTTTGTGTAGCTCTAATTGATTTCTTTTCAGATGTAAATATATCTTTGTACTGTGGCTTGTTAGTATTTTATTTAGTTTCCATATGCTGCGTTTCATGATGTTTTAATTGTTGTCCTTAAATTTTAACTGAGCAGCATTTCAGTAGAGTAGACACTTTAGAATAATAATAGTTTTAGCATCATTAAAATTTGCAAATTGGATTACAAATAACAAAATAAATGTTTCAAGTTATTCTGTCTGGCTTCATTCCTTAATTTTTTTAATGGCACAAAATTAGTGGAGACTCTGGGCCAGATTAACCCTTGTTTAGCTATATTGGCGGCCCATTCTTTTTAGCAGTCTTTGTTACATCTCCTATTAGAATTAACCTCACAGATGTCAGACTAATTTTTTTCCCTTTAATCTTTTTCCTGTGTTCTTAGTGTTTATAAAAAAAAGCAGAAAGACATAACGGGCAACTGGCAATTGCACTTCAGAATTAACATATGACTCTGATCAGCATAAGACCCAGCAACTTAAAACCAATTTTCAAGTTTTGTAAACCCCAGTCCTGTGCTGACTTCAGAAATGCTACTTACTTGCCCAAAGTTAAGCATGTGTGTAAGTGTTTGCAGGGCCTGGGCCTTAATGTGTTTTGGAAAACTTCAGGCAAATCATTCACATTTAATAATAAACTGTCTCCATTTGTTTTTGTATGCAATGTATTAGATTAAACAAATATCCTAATGAGTGGTGTTGACTGACAAATGTGTGATTATTGAGGAGGGAGGGTAATGTATGGCATTGCCTGGCTGTTGATAGGGCGTGTTGGTGTGAAATGCTAAATGGAAAGGTACAGGGCAAGGATTGCCTTGTCGGTGATATGGTAGAGCTATGCACTTAAAGTGCTATTTATCATTTAGTAAATAACTATTTAAAACTTCCAAATGATACCAGTGCTGATATGTCAAAAGCCAGATTGTTGTTTCAGTAGGTTATTGCACTCTTGTAATGGATTCCTTTCAGCAGGAAGGGAGAAGATTATTTCAGAACAGATTACAAACCGTACATTTGACATTGCATTACAGTTAAAATACATCTCCAACAATTTTAAGGAATCAAACTGAACAACTTCAGAGACATAGTCACAGCAGTTAACTGTAGTACCTCCAAGGTGAACAACAAAAATATATCACATCACAAAACAAAAAGGCTTAAATATTCCTTTGTGTCTTTTTTTCTAATATAGAGAATGCATTTAGTAGTCTGTCTCCATTACTGTATAGAAATTGAAAACATTCCTAATGCTTTGAACTTGTAAGCCCAGAGTCACAGCAGGTCTGTACACAAAATAAGTACAAGTGTGCATTCCTACCACATGCAGTAAGATTTATCCTATAGACCCATGCCTCTGAGGAATTCAGCTAAACACAAAAGACCCTCAGGTAGAGAAAGGCAACTGGGGTCAGGAGAACTAGCTGCACACATAAATAGATTCCTGCTGGAAAGGTCATTAACAGGCATCCAGGACTCCAGGCTAGGAATTAGTTTCTTGGACCATTAGCAGTAAAAAGCCTAGCAATTGAATGGGATTCAGTGCCCTATTAAAAATTAGCAAGAACAATTGGAGCTTTTCCAATTATAATAGGAATCAGACTTCATAGATCATTTTGCCTTGTCTAGTATGTGGTTTCTATATTCTGAATAATATGAATATGATGCATTTATATGTTATTAAAATAGTATCTCTGTAAATGTTTTGTCTGTTTAATGAGGTTTTGTAAGTACATTACAGTGAGGACAATGAAAGTTAGAAGAACTGGAATTTAGTGTCATCCTAAGAATTTACTGTTGATTCCAAGTATTGAGCCTCCTAAAAGTGTACAGTTAACCATAAAATAATTATTTTTTTTACATATACAAATATTATATTGTATCAACTTTCTATATAATCTCAGGTATTAAAGTGCTGATGTGGTTTCATATAAACAATACATTTAATGTAAGTATATTCCCATCTTTTCCCCCTGTTATTCAGACTTCTCTAAATAGAATTTCCAAAGCTAGTGCTTGAATGGACACTAAGAGCAGCCTCTTTGCTCTGATTTCAGTACTGACCACCTGTCCCAAATTTGTGAGTAGATGACAGGGTCATTGTCCAGCTATGCTGGAAGAAGGACAGGAGGGACTGGATGTGGTTTTAATTAGGCCACAACTTTATTTTTAAATATCTGGTAGTACTCAGCTGATAAAAATTGTACAGTTCAGGTAATTCCATAATCATTTCCATATACTCAGGGGCTGCCATTAGCCCTCCCCCTTTTCCATTCTGATCCCAGCCAACCCACTGCTCAGATCCTGCCACCCTCTCCCTCTCTTAGGAGGGTTAAGGGGGGTCATAAAGTGTTAGGGGCTGCAATGACTGGTACAGCAAGGAGTCAATCCCCTTCCTTTTTCTCTGCTCCTTTAAAAAGTGCCTCCTTAAAATCCTTTACCTATCCTTTCTGTCTGTATCCATTCTCTATGGAATACCTGCACTGGACATTTACCTCAAGGGGGAGCCAGCAATTAATTTGGCTGGCCTCTCCCCATTGCTGGCCAGGGTCCTAGACATTTACTGACATCTTCTTTAATGCTGGCCAGAAATGTGTCAGCTCCCCAATCAGATAGGTGAGCCCCATCATCCCTGAATAACTCGGAGGCCCCGTAAACAGATGAGAAATTACTAATCCCCCTTGACCTCAGAGGAATTAGGCCACCATCCTGTTCATGTACCTCTTAGTCATCTACACTTTACCTAACTCAAGATTCTAAAACTAACTTCATATGATACTATCTAGGAGCTTTAAATGTACAAAAGCACTATAAAATCATAGAAATGTAGGGCTGGAAAGGACCTCAAAAAATCCTCAAGTCCAGCTCCCTGCACTGAGGCAGGACCAAATATCCTGGACCATCCCTGACAGGTGTTTGTCCAAACTGTTCTTAAAAGCCTGCAATTCCACAGCCTCTCTTGGAAGCCTATTCCAGAACTTAACTACCATTATAGTTAGAAAGTTTTTCCTAATACCTAACCTAAATCTTCCTTGCTGCAGATTGTCAATTATTTCTTGTCCTGCTTTCAGTGGACATGGAGAATAATTGATCACAGTCCTCTTTATAATAGCCTTTATTTGAAGACTGTTAACAGGTTCCCCCCCAACCCCCAGTCTTCTTTTCTCAAGACTAAACATGCACAGTTTTTTTAATCAACCTTTCCTCATTGGTCAGGTTTTCTAAACCTTTTCTCATTTTTGTTGCTTTCCTCTGCACTTTCTCCAATTTGTTCACATCTTTCCTAAATTGTGATGTCAAGAACTGAACACAGTACTCCAGCTGAGGCTTCACCAGTGCTGAGTAGCACAGGCGCTGGCTTCTAATTTTCTCTGGGGGTGCTCAACCCCTGTTCAGCACCAGGCCCTAATCCCACTGCACCCCTGCATCCCACCATGCAACTATGCCCCTTTGGGCTGTGATCTCATCACATCACATAAAGTAAGCAGTGTCATGTTAGGTCAATACTTGGATAAGAGTCCTGTAGAAAAAAGCCAGGTACTGCAGGAAATGGTGCTGATGCTGGTAGGTGGCACTGTTCTCTGAGTCAGTGCTGGATCAATGCTCCAGCATGGTTTGTGGTGTTGGAGGTTTTGTAGTGGGCCAGATCTCCAGGTAGTATACATTGGTGTAGCTGTATTGAAATCATCAGTTGATCATCTGGCCCATCATGTTTGGATGTCAGGTAAAACTGAGGCCCTGATCAATTGTGATCTTTAAAAAAAAAAAAATTATACTTTTTGTAAAAGTAATATTTTGTTACCCCTGATACTCTGGCCAAATTGCTCTTTGAGTATCTACACTTTGGCTACCTAATAAACTCCCTGTAGTTTCAGCTGGAAAAGTCTTCTTCAGTACCTGCCTTACACCATTGTGTGGTGTTGCTCTGCTCTGTTACACAGGAGCATTAAAGGTTGTGATGACTGAACTTCTGCATCATAAGCCCTGTCTAACGTAACTGCCCCCTCATTGTTAGTATAAGAAATTGACTGAAAAAGGGATACATGGGTGTAAGAGCTCCAAATATATCATCCAAATTACTATGGATCTTTCAGCTATGTATTCTGTTTCTCTTGATAATTGAAAGAGACTAGAGCCCTGAAATCAACAAGGAAATATTATATTTTTAAAAAGTCACTAAACTGTTTAACTTAGTAAGTAAACAACTGTGCTTTTATCTTTAATAATACGAAGTCTTGTGTGAGATTGTAGGTGAAATGAAAGGCCTCTCCATTAAGTGCCTGGTGTACAGCAGGCCTCCTTAACAAGTTTCAGTGTCTAATCTATCTCACACCTTTTGGAACAGTTTAATAAGTAGTATAATTACATGTAAGCATATTTAAACTCAGGAAACCCCCAAAATAACATCATCAATGTTCAAGAGTCCTATTCATTCTTTTGTGTCTGCCAAACTCTTTTGTGATGGTTTTATTAATTGTTATATTTTGACAGGAAGAAATTTTTGCTTGTTTTTTCCAGCCTGAAGAACTACCTTGTCTCTCTGAAGGGCAGCTTGTGACTCTTCTGGAAGAATGTATGCAGTTCCCAAGAACAATAAGCAATGTTACTGACTCAGAATTACAGGAATCTCTTTCTGATGGAATAAGTCCCTCTTGTTACGCAACTCAAGACTCCACCCTGCTCTCCAGGTCTACTCTATCCAAACTGTTAGATGAAGCCCGTAGTGTGGTGAAGTTAACAGCTCAGGAGAGGGCAGGTATTGAAGATAAAAGTATATGTGAAAGTGCAGAGAGTGAAACCTGTGGCTACTATCTCAGTAAAGCTTTGGCCATTAGTCATTCATCAAATCATGATTCTGTGGCCCAAATAGAAGAACCTGATGACCTAGAAAGTTCACAGGAGATGGAGAATAAGAATAATACTGAAGGTTACTTTATGTCAAGAGCACTCAGCGCAAAAAGATTGAAAAAACCCTCTTTCTTGGATGAACTATTTTATTGCATCAGCATGAACAATGAGCTATCCACAGAAGCTGACATTCCCAGCATACCATTGCAGACCAGAGGAGGTGAGGCTCTTAACAACCATTTAGAATAGGCTTTTGATTAAGATGAACAAAAGAAGCAGGTTCTCACCAAAGGTATTCACTAATGCAGTACAATTATAGTGGTGGGGCAACAAAGTACTTTTATAAAGCATAAAACCATGCCAAAAATAACACACGCAAACTGTTTTTCAAAATTCTTGCTCTGATGTAATTCCCCCCCCCCCCCAATAAATAGTTTTATGAAATACTAGTAGCTGAAAGCCCATGCTGTCACATGGGTATCATTCATAAAGTCAAAATGGCTGAGAACTTAAAAATTGATGGTAACAGATTGCAAAACCCAGTGAGGATTCAACCTGGTGATATTCTGAACAAAAAGAGCCCTCAATCATGCTTGTAGCTGTTTCTATCGCTTCAGAGTGACAATCCTGGAATCTTATTATATTGATTATACTATCAATAGTATCAAAGAGTACTCCCTTCTCTTCATGTGTATAATGCCTGCATCTGTAACTTTCACTCCATGCAGCTGAAGAAGTGAGGATTTTTACCCATGAAAGCGTATGCCCAAATAAATCTGTTAGTCTTTAAGGTGCCACCGGACTCCTTGTTGTTTTTGTGGATACAGACTAACATGGCTTCACCCTGATACTTGATAGTATTGATTGTGATTAATACTCTCAATGGGAAAATAATGCTAGATACACATGTAATATTTTTTTATAATAGTAAAACCTGTCGTTTCTTTTCTTCTTCTTGAACTTCCTGTCTGTTTCTGGAGAACATATATTCTCATACTAGTTTCCAGGCTAATTCACACGAGTCCCAACATATATCTATTGAGTTGTTTCTCTGATATGACAAGCTCCATACTTAAAAAATAAAATAAAATGATATCATGATCTAAATATAAGAAAAATTAATCCGAATTGCTTACAGCACTTCAACTCTGTATGCTGACAGCATGCACATGGTCTAAAAGTATACTAAATATACATATTGGTATTCTATATATTGGTTTTTGTTGTTTACATTCAGTAAAGACAGACTTGTACATATCACCCAGTGCAGAGTTAAATAGAGACTATATATTACTATAAAATTTTAGGTGTGTCCACATTTCTAATTTCTTTTACTGATGCAAAATGTTTGTATTATGATATTTTAATAAAAATCCAAATTCAGATTTTTAGCCTAATAGCTGTGTGAGTCACCCCTCTTTTTTTAAAAAAAGAACTGTGTTCTAATAAATCAGCTAGGCACATATCTATACATCATTGCTAGATTAAAATTGCATCAGATTGATAAAACATTGTTAATGTTACAGAGTCTGTGATAAATCGAGATAGTTTGGTTATATTGTAATTTAACAAAATCCTCTTTAATTTACTAAATTAGACTTCATCATTTACTAATTATTGTCATTATATATCTAATCACTTCCAAATTTGGATTCAGGTATAATTTAGCAGAGCACCGTCACACCTCCTTATTGCAGTAGCATTTTTGAGCTCTGATTATAATGGTTGCTTTGATTGCACATTATTCTGCTTCCCCATTCTGTAAAAATGATGCCTCACTTTATACTGTTATCACTCCACATATCAGGAATGAGGAGGTAAGAAAGACTGTCAAAAACTGAGCCTGCAGAGAGAAGACCCTGCTTACCACACCCCAGTCTTATCTTACCACCTCATCCTGGAAGCATGGAGAGACAACTCTGCAAGTTCTTTCTCCCCTTTCCTTCTCAAAAGAAATACGATAATGGCAGGTGTAAGGATGACAGAGAGAAGAGATCAGAGAAGGACAAACCAGAGATGACAAGCCAGGAAGCAAATAGCCTTCTTTACAAAATTTTAAGAACAGAATGATCACATAGATGAACGCGATTTGTTGGATAAGAGTCAACACAGCTTTTGTAAAGAGACATTGTTCCACACAAATCTATTAGAATTCTTTGGGGGGGGGGTGTCAACAAACATGTGGACAAGGGTGATCCAGTGGATAGAGTGAACTTGGACTTTCAGAGGGTAGGTCCTCTCCTGGATTGGTAACTGGTTAAAAGATAGGAAAGAAAGGGTAAGATTAAATGGTCAGTTTTCAGAATGGAAGGAGTAAATAGTGGTTTCCCCCAGAGATTTGTACTGGGACCAGTGCTGTTCAAGATAGTCACAAATGATCTGGAAAAAGGGGTAAACACTGAGGTGACAAAATTTGCAGATGAACCGTTATCTTATATAGGGCTGTGAGACTAGCAATTTCACTTAGTTCCTGCTTCCTGATAGGACGTTGGAGCCATACTAGCATAATTTGAGGTCTCTTTCTTGCAGAGTAGGGAAAAGAGGAGATCATAACAAAACAAACACCTGGTAAGTAATTTTCCCATGTAGAACATCACATGCTAAAGCGTTGAAGTCTATAGAATTACGTTGTTAGATTTATTACATTAAGGCTCCACATTTGTCATGGAGGTCACCAAGTCATGGATTCTGTGACTTTCTGTCACCTCCGTGACTTCTGCAGTGGCTGGTGCGTCTGGCCCGGGGACTGCCTGAGCAACTTGGGCAGCCCCTGGGTCAGGCTCATTGGCCGCTGCTGGGGCAGTCTCGGCCCGACCCCCCAGCAGTAGGAGTTTGAGTGTGGGGAGGGCTCAGGACTGGGGATTGGGGTGCAGGGTGTTGCTTACCCGAGGTGGGGGAGTTCCCTGGAAGGGTGACAGCAACTCTCCTCCCTCAGCTCCTAGCTTCATGTGCTGACTCCGCCCACAGGCACCACCCCTGCTGCTCTCATTGGCTGCAGTTTCCAGCCAATGGAAGCTGTAGAACTGGGGCTTGAGGCGGAGCGGAGACAGCACGTGGAACTAGGAGCTGGGGCCACCGCTTCCCAGGAGCCAGGTAGGGAGCCTGCTCCAGCCCCACCAACCGCACCCCCCGCCCCAGCACCTGAGGCGCCCCCAGGACCACGACTCCCCCAACACCTGTGGTGGCTGCGAGCCGCATCCCCCTCCCCAGTACCCACAGTGCCCCCCGGGCCGTCCCCCACAGCACTCGCGGCACCCCCAGGCCCACCCTCCCAAGGCACGCCCCCCACCAAGTTTTAGTCAGGGGTATATAGTAAGAGTCATGGACAAGTCACGGGCCATGAATTTTTGTTTACTGCTCGTGACCTGTCCATGACTTTTACTAAAAATACCCATGATTAAAACGTAGCCTTAATAATAATATAAGGGTCTTTGTGTCATGATAGTTCACTATGTCAGCACAACATTGTCTGATATATTTATTCTTTGTTTCTTTAATTGTTGAACAATATTCAGCTATATACACTTTAAAATATGTAAAGTTTAAATGCACATAGTTATTTACCAACCTGTTTTGTTTATCAAATACTTTGAAAGAAAGTAGGTAAGTAGCAGAGATTTTTCGGCCCAAACTTTTGTGGTTCAGTTTTTCATAATGAAAAGCCTCTTCACATTTACCTACTGTCACATGCGTCTTTGGGCATGTCTACACTTACCTCCGGAGCGATCGATCCAGTGGGGGTTGATTTATTGCGTCTAGTGAAGACGCAGTAAGTCGACCGCCGAGCGCTCTCCCGTCAACTCCGGTACTCCACCGGAACAAGAAGTGTAGGCGGAGTCGACGGGGGAGCGTCAGCAGTCGACCTACCGCAGTGAAGACACCGCAGTAAGTAGCTCTAAGTACATCGACTTCAGCTACGCTATTTTCATAGCTGAAGTTGCGTAACTTAGATCAACTTAGCTCACCACCACCCCCCTGCCTCCCCCAGTGTAGACCAGGCCTTAGACTCATCAGATTGGTTCTGGTCAGGTAATTGGAACAAGTGGATATGGCTCATGAAAAGCTGATGATCTGTAGGGCAGAATGAAAGGAAGTATAAAAAAAGAATTCAGACATTTATAATATCAGTTTTCATCCATTTTCCAGTTCCCCATAAATTGAGGCCAATAGAGGGTATTTCAGATGTGCCATTCTGACATTAAAATACATGTAGAACTTAAAATTCAGAAATAAATGTGAGGTATTTTAATTATTTTTGTCAGTTTATTATTGATTATATATATAACATTAAAGAGAAGATCCCATTATTTATCCAAAGGACTAAAGTGATTCCTGCAAAGACAAATCATGTGTAGCTGTAACATTTGTACATGGCCATGACTGGAAGTTCATAACCTTTATCAAGATTGTGAAATTATTCAATATTATATTGATGAGCCCAGTATTACTCCAGTAGCTAGATGTGATAAATTATGTTGACTATTGTAGGAATTAAACCCTTGGAGACTCCAGTGGATTCCAATCTCTGGCTAATACATTTCTTTTCAAAGTTTCAACCCATATTTATTTAAACAGATTTCTTAATCCTTTATTCCAAGCTCCAGGGTTGTTTTTTTAAATTATTTTTAAAAGAGCCATCCCCATAGTGGCATCATGTTATGTATACATATTTAAACTGCACCTAATATAAGAACCACACTAAGGATAATTGTATGTTTTACTTTTTTGGAAATAGGAAACATAGTGAAAAATTCTACCAGACCACTTCACTGGTTAGCCACATAGCCGCAAATCCAAGGGAAGGTAGGGGTAAGACCTTAATGGCCATGGTTGTAGACAGGTCAGGCATGTTTACATACCCCAAACTACTATGGGAATGGCTGATAGCTTTATTTCAGAGCCTCTGCAGGCCATCATGCAGTTTCCCCAGTTCTTGCTCAGCTGAGGAGGAAGCCAGCCTCTCTCTCAATGCTAGCATTGTCTTCTCTATCATCTCAAAACACCTCTGGAACATCATATGTGGCAGTTTGGATGTGGGAGCTTGATGCTTCACTCTGTTACTCTGGTTTTACTTCAGTGTAACTGTTTAAGTGAATGGTGTTATGCCAGTGTAAAGCTGGTGTAATAGAGCGAATACTCAGGCCTGGGGTTTAGAATCATGGACTATTCTTTGGGACATTTGACTTCTGAGAATCTGAGTAGGTGACACAATTCAAGCTGGGCCTTGCAGCTGGATTGAACTCCATCCAACAAAGCTATTTAAGTCCAATATTTGGTCCATTATGCATGAGTTATCCATTGCCCTCTAAGATAGAAAAAATAGATTTATCATGACTCATTAATATTTTTTACTAAAGCACACTGTGTATATATAAATTTCAATGAAAAAATCCTAATATAGTTAGCAATGTACTATACTGCTAAATGTAGTATGACTATAATTCCTAGTATTGTGGAAGTTTAGTATGTGGTAATTATGCTTTTCTAAAAGATAGGGTCTTTGTGGAAGATACTTATTTAAAAATCCTTGATAATGTTTTGGACTTAGACAATTTACGAAGTTAGCAGTGTTTCTACTCTTTCCTACAAGGCCAGGAGAGCATGGGCATTGGCCTGTAGACCTTCTGGGAGAAGGTATGTGCATTGGCCTTCGGTATTTACATTTGTACCTCTCACGCGTTTCTATTGAAGGCTGTATTGTTTTGTCAGAGATAAGATTTCTCTTATAAGATCTACTTTGGGATGTTCACTGAGACTTTCAGAGCGCAGGAGGCAAGAAAGTCTATTTTATCTTAGCTTATTTGGGAAGGGAAAAGCTTATCCAAGTTCTTAAAAATTGTCTTTTTGAGCTTTTGCATCACATCTTATTTCTTTAAATTATTTAAGAAAATACAGTCCTTTGGAGAATGGATGTACTCTAAAGCATTGACATATATTCCTGTAGATTCACTTTCTGAAGTAGATATTGTACAGTATCCCGCAAACTGAATGAAAAACTCAGAAGTTGTTCATATTTCTTCATCGCTATTTAAATACTTAGGGGTTCTTGTCTGCTTTTGACCTGTTCCTTAATATTTGCAGTGGACCTTCTTGTTTTGTCAGGCAAGTGAATCTTACATGCTAGTATCTTACAGTATCAGCTCCCTTGAAGCAGGCAGAAATACAGATTGCAGCGATCCAGGAATTTTACAATATCTTACTGTGGTATTTTAGTGCTTACTGTGATATTTTAGAAGTACTCTGTGCTGAGGAATAATCAGTTACATCAATGTCAATTTATATCCCCCAAGAGTTAAGACATGGAGCATGTTTTGATCTGTAGAATGCAGAGAAAATCTTAAACTATATCATAAATACTTGAGATCCTTCAATATCTGGAAGAAAACAGTAAAACAGAATGTCATCTCATAGAGAAATGTGTCTGATAAATTCTGCCCCCCCAGATGCAGGCACGAAGCTTGGAGTTACAGTTGATCAACCAAGAATTTGGCCTTTTGTTATAAGGTTGGTTTATTAATCCCTTTCAATTTAGAAGGCAATATAGACACACAGAGAAATTTTATTAAAATTTGGTAGCTTAAACTCCCTGCGGGAATTTGAGGTGTCATCCATTTATTTAGCTTTCAGATGGAAATGTTGAACCTTGTTTCACCTCACTGTCTCTCATGATCAAAAAAGTAAATGAAGATGTTTAACTTCAAGAGATACTATAACTTCCCGCATCATTTAGTTCCCTAAAAAACACAATTTCATTGTAAGAAGAGTGAAGAATCCTAGCAAGATTTACACATTTAGTACTATTAAAAAGAATCCAGTTAACAGACTTGCAGGTAATTATCAGATCTTAATACTCAAGCATCCATTGCCATTTATGGCACAAAATCGAGAATTTGTTATTGCACTTTTTCAGTGAGTGCATAGAGTGTCAGGTAAGGCAAGAAAACAGGCAACTAACCAGAACTGGCTGGATTTGACTTCTTTATGCATAGGGCCCCTGCTGCTAGAATTGATGAAAAGAAGAATGTTGTCTTCAGGTCTGCAGGAAAGTTGAAGATTAGCTAAATGGGCCAAATTCTGCTTTCTCATATGACTGTGTAAATTCTGAGTAACTGTCAGGAATCAGGGCCTGCAGCAGAGCTAGTCTCCAGGCAGCCTCATCCAGACATCTGGCCTGTAGCAGGCTGCCTGATTGGTCACGCCACCTGCAGGGGGCAGTAGGCTGGCTCTTAAACCAGCAGCAGCTTATTGGCTGCTCAGTGCTTATGCCCACAACTGTGTCTGTGTCTGTGTTACTGTGTTCCTGCTGCCTCTACTTTGCACCCAGCCTTTCCTCTGTCCTGTCCCTGCTTTGAATCCCTTCTTGCTTGCTACCCTTCTTGCTCCAGTTCCTGAGTTTGACCTTTGGCTCTGGTTTCTGACTACTGACTCCGGCTCTGATCTTGGTCCTTGGTTCCTGATGCCTGCTCCCACCACTAGGCTAGACTGCCCTCATCCCGGTCAGCTGACAGTAACTCCATTAAAGTCAACGGTTTCAGAGAAATGGTGGTGTCTGGGAGGCGGAGTGTTTGCTAGGACCATGTGATCAAAAACACTGACTTTCTAAATAAATACACAGGTACCTTCACAAGTGCATTAAAAAGAAAACACCTAACATTGATTACAGTCACATAATACCAGACTTATTTCTCTTTATATTATTAATCTTTTGCAGAGAGAGTGTGCATCATTAAATAATGTAAGTTTTTTGTACCATAAATCTTCTAATAACAATTATTAAAATACATCTGTGACTAGCTATCTTGCTCAAACTCTTTATACAGATTATCTTCTGGATGCCTATTTCTTGAGATAGCTTTTCACCTGGAAAGAGCTGTCACTGGAGCTCTACAGCCTAACCTTCTATTTTCTTCTTTGAAATTTCAGACCTCTATCTAGCTCATGAGCTTGGACATCTTCTGTGGTGGTTTAAGTTAAGTAGTGGATAATGTTACACTTTCAAATAATTCAGAAATATAAAGCTAGTTGTTTATTTCCAAAACAGTATGAGTTTTAATTTCAAGTACATCATAACATGGAGGTCTATGATGCAAAATTACTTTCAGAGCTAAAAAAGCGCTTACATTAAGAGAACAGTGATTACAGTTATCATTGAGAGGTGAGTAAAGTCGCTACTTCCCCTCGAGAACTGGTAAAGGCAGATGGTCAAATACCCTTGGATGCACATGTGATGCCCATTGGGATAAACAGAAGCCGAACTTATCCACAGATGCAGGCATGTACATCAAAAGTTGATATTTCTCAATTTTGAGAGTCCAATCAGTAGATGTGCATGAGTGACTGCTCTTATTCCCAGCTTTCTTTGGCCTTATTAGTGTTCAGGAAGATTGTATATCACAATCAGTTACTACTTTTTTCGTTTATACTTGTGAATATTATTGGCCTTCAAGCAATTCATGTATGATTTCTTCTTTTGTGCAGATGATCTGAAGATTGAAGATGTGGCAGCAGAGTAATATACATATTCCAACTTACAGTCATTTTTATAAAACATTGGTAAACTACGCTTCAGTGTTTTTCATTAATACATGATCATTTCAGACTGTGAATACAGTGAAATCGTCATGCATATATACACTGCGTACCATAATTATTACTGTGAAATAGTTTCTTCTTACAGAGAAAGTTATTATTGTCACGCATTGCAGTTTGAGTTCTAAAGGAAAAATATTCTACTTGAGTTTCTGGTTCAACAAGGACAAGTGCAGAGTCCTGCACTTAGGACGGAAGAATCCTATGCACTGCTACAGACTAGGGACCGAATGGCTAGGTAGCAGTTCTGCAGAAAAGGACCTAGGAGTCACAGTGGACAAGAAGCTGGATATGAGTCAACAGTGTGCTCTTGTTGCCAAGAAGGCTAACGGCATTTTGGGCTGTATAAGTAGGGGCATTGCCAGCAGATCGAGGAACGTGATCGTTCCCCTTTATTCGACATTGGTGAGGCCTCATCTGGAGTACTGTGTCCAGTTTTGGGCCCCACACTACAAGAAGGATGTGGAAATATTGGAAGGAGTCCAGCGGAGGGCAACAAAAATGATTAGGGGTCTGGAGCACATGACTTATGAGGAGAGGCTGAGGGAACTGGGATTGTTTAGTCTCCAGAAGAGAAGAATGAGGGGGGATTTGATAGCTGCTTTCAACTACCTGAGGGGGGGTTCAAAAGAGGATGGAGCTCGGCTGTTCTCAGTGGTGGCAGATGACAGAACAAGGAGCAATGGTCTCAAGTTGCAGTGGGGGAGGTCTAGGTTGGATATTAGGAAACACTATTTCACTAGGAGGGTGGTGAAGTACTGGAATGCTTTACCTAGGGAGGTGGTGGAATCTCCTTCCTTGGAGGTTTTTAAGGCCCGGCTTGACAAAGCTGGGATGATTTAGTTGGGAATTGGTCCTGCTTTGAGCAGGGGATTGGACTAGATGACCTCCTGAGGTCCCTTCCAACCCTGATATTCTATGATTCTATGAATATTTTACATAATATTGTTCAGTGTTTTACCAGCAATGTACATTTTTTCAACATACAGTAGTAGATATAATCACAAAGTTGTATTGAATTCAGTAAAATTGAGTATGAACTTTGTAAAAATATGACAGGTCAATTCTAATAATCTATTTTTTTCTTTTTTTTGCATACTTTACTGCTTTGAAGAAAAATGGCTAAAATCTGACTGCATCTTTTTCCTGTCTGCAGTGGAGTTGTTTGTGGTACAGACTGGATTCTGTAAAGTGGTGAGCACTCTGTCCCTGATTCAACAAAGTGCATAATCATTTGCTTATTTTTAAACGAACAGTAATTGACATCAACAGGACTACTCCTATGCATATAGTTAAGTATGTGCATAAGTACTTTGCTAGAGTGCTCATCACTTTGCAGGATTAAGCAATAGGTGAAGATAAGAATTTAATCATGTGGCAAGTAGCCTTAGGTTCTAGTTGAGGTACAGTGGTTTCCCCAGGAATTGAAATTGGGGGGGGGGGTGGAATTTACGGGGGGGGGGGGGGGGCGATGTCAGGGCTAATGAGGGGTGAGACTGTGAGGTTGAAGGTGGGCTGTATGGCATCATAGTAAAAACCGAAAAATGTTTCATGACCATTTTATTAGATTTAACTCATGTTTTTAAATCATCACACAAATTAAAGTTAGCTACTCAAGCCTTCTATGAAGCACTACGTCTACATCCTTCTTGGTTTCTTGTTATAATTTTGCACAACTCTGTTAATGAACTTCTTGAATGCAATGCATTCATCTTTGGTGGCTTCTCGTGTGTCCGGTACTTCCATTCCTTCAATTGATATGCTCATTAGTTCATTCATATGATCAGGCAGAAGGCGACTTCTTTCAGAACACAAAATTCTATTCAATGATGAAAAAGAACGCTCAACTGTAGCTGTTGTGACTGGGAGTAGCAAGAGATGAATTCCTACTTCTTTCATCCCAGGAAACAGAACACAAAGATTCGGTCGAGCCACTAGTGATGATAAAAAAGAAGTTGAAGTCAAATCATTCATTTCTCGTATGATATTCCACTCTGTGTTCAAATTCTCTATTCTGTCCTGATCACATGGCAGCCCCATTGCTGGTAGTGCCTCACTCCACTCAACAGTTGGTGTTTTATAGGACAGACATCTGTAAACGCTACGTAGAGGTTGAGTAGAATCTAGAAGTCACTGTTGTAGATTTTTAAGAATCAAATTTGTGTACTTTTTCAGTTGTCTTAACAAACACTTCTTGTCTTCTTCACTTAAGGATTCAATACAAATGCCTTCATTAGTCAACTTATGGATTGAAGTCTTTGCTTCTTCCAGTACTTTTTCAATGGATAGCTCTCTGATTGATCCAAATGTAGCTTCTATTGCTGGACAAAGATCTACTACTGTTGTAGCAGATGCCTGGATGGCATTGTTTAATGACCCAAGTGGTTTCAACAGTAGGCTTATGAGAGAGAGAATGGCAATAGTCTTCTCTGAACGTAGTAGCAAAAGTAATCCACCAGCCTCACTATTTAGATCCATCCCATTTTGGTGGATACTTTCCAAAGCCAGTAATAACGGCTGGAGTAATTTTAAGACAACAGCCAAGGATTGCTCATGAGAAAGCCAGTGGGTTTTCCCAGGTTGGACTAATTTGAACTTCAGTACCAGTGTATCTTCTATATTTTCCAAGATATTCAGTCTTCTTGGACTCTTGCTGAAAAAAGAATATAGTGAAGACATTAAATTTATAGCTTTTTTAATGTCTTTTGAAGATTCTGCAGCTCGTACTAGTGCTAGTTGGAGTAGATGGCTTCTGCAGTGTGTATAGGAGAGATTAGGGTTACACTTTTCTCTGAGCAAAGCTTGTACTCCACCATGTCTTCCAGAGAAGTTTGCAACTCCATCAAATGCACAAGCAGCCATCTGTTTGGGGTCCAATTGACAAGCATGTAACTCTTCTAAGATGTGGGTTGTCACAGATGCAGCCGATATGTCTTCTATAACTTGAACATCTAGAAATGCATCTACTGGCCTACCCCGACATCAAGATAACGTACACGATGACTTAATACTTGATGCCCATTTGCATCAGTGCATTCGTCAGCCATGTATGCAAATTTTTTGAATGTGGTGAGAGTTCTTCACTTTTTCAACTGTTGAGTCTTTCACTGTTGCACCGCATGCTTCTAGCCAGTCACTTGAGTTTCTTGCAGAAAGATAGTGAGCATTTGCTGGTCTTGTTCGGAACCAGTGTTCAACTTCAGGATGAACAAGTGACAATGCACTTAACATTGGCCTCCAGTTTCTAGTGTGTGTGGTATCTCTTGTTTAAATAGTAAGTAGGATGCCACAGCCATGTTTGTTCGCATGAACTGTGATGTGTCTCCAGCATTCTTACCAGCCTCATTAAGTACTTCTAAAATTGGCTTTAAAAGTGGGCTTATAAGGCTTTCTGCATGTTGATGCACTTCAGAGGCCTGGTGTTTTGCAGCTTTTTCACGTAGTTTGTCAGCATTGGCTTTGCTGATCGGTTTGACAAACCAAGCTCCTCCATTTTTACCAATTATAGCATTGGGAAGCTTTCCTTCTTCGTAAGCTTTTTTGCAAGAGGTGCACCAGTAGCCATCTTTTGTAACTTCAGTAAATGGGAACACTTTGACCGACAAACATCAGGAACTGCCTTTAGGTTTTGGAGACACTGTTTCTTCAGTAGGTAGCTGTATTTGTGCTTCGGGCTGTTCGGATGTGGATATACCACTTAAACCTTCAGATGACATGTTGATATATTCTTGGTTCTTGATGTGTTCTTCACCTTGGTTAGTTTTTGAGGCCTCTGAGTGCAAAAATTGTTGTATTGTTTTTTGTCTTTTCATTTTCACTTTGACCTGCAACATATAAAAGAGATATGAATAAAGTAAATGTTTTGTTAGGATAATGTAAATTTAACATAAGGATAATGCAAGTTACACCAAAACACATAACAGGTCTAGATTTCTAAAAAAATATAAATTTAAAAAAAAGTATTTAAATTGGCTTTTGAAAAGTAAGCCATCCTGGGATAAGAGGGAAGTCCTCTCATGGATCAGTAACTGGTAAAAAGATGGGAAACAAAGGGTAGGAATAAATTATCAGTTTTCAGAATGGAGAGAGATAAATAGTGGTATCCCTGAGGGGTCGGTATTGGGACCAGTACTGTTCAACATATTCATAAATGAGCTGGAAAATTGGGTAAACAGTGAGGTGGCAAAATTTGCAGGTGATACAAAACTATTCAAGATAGTTAAGTTCCAGGCAGACTGCGAAGAGTTACAAAGGGATTTCACAAAACTGGGTGACTGGGCAACAAAATGGCAGATGAAATTCAATGTTGATAAATGCAAAGTAATGCACATTGGAAAACAATCTCAACTATACGTACAAAGTGATGGAGTCTGAATTAGCTGTTACCACTCAAGAAAGAGATCTTGGAGTCATTGTGGATAGTTCTCTGAAAACATCCACTCAATGTGCAGCGGCAGTCAAAAAAGCAAACAGAATGTTGGGAATCATTAAGAAAGGGATAGATAATAAGACAGAAAATATCATATTGCCTCTTTATAAATCCATGGTACGCCCACACCTTGCATACTACGTGCAGATGTGGTCACCCCATCTCAAAAAAGATATATTGGAATTGGAAAAGGTACAGAGATAGGCAACTAAAATGATTAGGGGTATGAAACAGGAGGAGAGATTAAAATGACTGGGAATTTTCAGCTTAGAAAAGAGATGACTAAGGGGGGATATGATAGAGGTCTATAAAATCTTGACTGGTGTGAAGAAAGTGAATAAGGAAATGTTATTTAATCCTTCACATAACACAAGAACTAGCAGTCACCCAATGAAATTAATAGGCATCAGGTTTTAAAAAAACAAAAGGAAGTACTTCTTCACACAACATAAAGTCAAACCGTGGAACTCTTTGCCAGGGGATGCTGTGAAGACC